GGGCTGATGGAATTTTCTTAAAGGTGCTTCGGGTCTGTTTCCTGGATGCCTTCCCTCTGCTACCAGCTTGTACCTGTACCACGCTGGGTCTGGAATGCAGCAGTGCCTGCTGCCCGGCTGCCCCTGCATCCCACTGGCCTAGTCCTCTTCCTACAGTCTGCATTATCACCCGTAAGCATCACCTCCATCATCTTGCTTTCCTGCTACAGATCCTCAGTGACACCCTACTTGCCACCATGTCACCTCAAAGCACTTCTAACTGGGGTCTCATGACCCACTGGAATACTGTACTCACCTTGCACCCAAACTTATACCTTCCACTCCTGTGTTCCCAATAATACAAATTTGACTTTGAGAAAATCAATATCCTCACCTACATACTCTCACTGTGAAAACACTTTTCTCTTATTCTTTTACCAGGCTTACTGCCTCCCTCCTTAGTTAAGAATACACACACACACAGACACACACAAAACATGTGTATACATACATGGTCTTGCAATGTGTGCCAATTGCTAATAAATGAGTATATAATATATATTCCATGCACTAATATATGCACATAGACCTTTATGTGAATGTACAGGTTTACATTGTTTTTTAATTTCTAATACATAAAAACATTGTTATATATGTATTCACATACAATTCTGTATTGTTTGCTACTTAGTTCATGCTTCTTCCTTTTGCCTCCCAAACTAGGCTGAGAGTTCTTTAGGAAAAAGGCTTCTTTTGTGCTTTGTACGTTGGCTTCACACCTCCTAACGCAATCCATACTCTCAATAAACACACGATGGCTCACTCATTGTTCCTGCTATTTTCTAAGAAAATGTCTAGAAAATTTTCAGTGCACAAGAAAGGCAGCTTCCCTCCTCCCAAAATGTTCATGGTCCCTTGAAGTGACAAGATTTGCTATTTTAATGTTTCGCTAAGTACAAGATAAATGCCCATATTTGAAAACTTTAGAATATAACTGGGAGCCAAAAGAAGAAATGTAAAATCATCTCTCTTCCTAATAGAAAGATCAAACACTCTCGAAAGCTCCCACCATTCATCTCCTCGGTGGCCTGTTGCAGGCTACCTTGGATGCTGACAACACAAAACCACCACTCACCCTTCTTCTACTACAAAAGTTCACACTCTCAGCCCTTCCTGAGAGTGCCAGTACTTGGTCTGCATGAGTGCTGGCTACAGCTGGGAGTCCTTCTGCCCCTATTAGCAAAGGTAGGCCTCAGACTGGATGAGAAGTAATGAACTAGAGACAACTGCATTCTCCCTGTCCACCATTCTGGAGACTCCCAACCACTGCATTGAGAGGGAGCAGATGAATGAAGCAAAGACACCCATTCAGTTATTTCATGGAGGCATTAAATCAGGTGTTAAAGTAATGCAGGGACAAGGTGCTCCACAGTGACCAAGAAAGACCAACAGGCTATTTAAACTAACCCCATGCCACCCCCTCTTTACACACTGCTGTGCTGTAAAAGTAGCCCTTTATTCTCCTTCCTCAAACAATGCACAAAGGCAACACAGGGAAGGAAGTTATGTTGCAACATTCTGAAACATAAATCTTGCAAGCCGCCAGTCCAGAGACAGCATCCTGTTTTCCTTACACATGGATCAGATTCAGTGGAGGCTGCACCTATATGCCTTGTGTCCTGTTTTTCCAAGTGGCTTCTGTATGCTACCTGGTCACCTGCATTTACACATCCAAACATAGGTTGTGCAAGCAAAGATCGATGTGTGTGTGTCCAGTTACTCAATCGGCATGTACCACTGCATGCAGGCATACCTTTGCTCCTCCCCAGAATTCATTTTTTTCCACATTTGGACATCTAGCTTCATTTGTTTTAGTACCATCATATTTGGGAAGTTAAACAGAAATTAAACCTATATTCCCATGTAAGGAAGAGACCATTTATTCACTCCACTTTTGTAGTGTTCTACTGTATTGCAGTGTAGCCCTGAAACCCACTCTCTGCTTTGACTAGAATTCAGAAAGCCCACAGCCTGTTTCCTGGAGCGTCAAGGTGCTCCCTGAGTTGGGGGAAAGTGTTTACCATTGCAGTGCTTTCTTTCCTTTGGGGACTCAGAGGTAGAAAATGCCTGTGACTGGCCAGGGCCCACGACTGGCTTGCTCCAGGACAAGGGTTTCTCAGATGTGATGAGGCAGGGCTTTGAGACCTGGAAGCCGCTGAGCACAGGTGAAAAGTCCCTGTGAGACCTTGAATCCCGGGAGTGACTTCAGTAGAAGCAACACAAAGCCAGGCCCTTTCACGGGGAAAGACTCTGCTGTGGAATGTCACCTATGCCCCCAAGGACACATTCTTCTGCCATTCTAGAAAAGATGTCTGAGTTGACCAGAGGGCAAAGAGTAGAGGCATCACCCCACTACATGAACGCTCATGAAGTAGCTGCTGTTTGTGACATGATTGCCACATGTGACCTGACCCTTTGCCTAGATAAAAAAAAAAAAAAAAAAGTGGATTTTGTGACGTCAGTGCAACTGCTATGGAAGCCCATCTGAACAGTCATTTTTGCTGTCCCTAGACATGAGTCCTGAGACTGCTTCTCAGGTGTCTCAACCATTTCACACAGCTTCTCATTCTTTACATCCAGGGTCATACTACGTTTTCCCCAGAAATCTGATCACTTCATTTTATACAGGGGAATTTTAGACACATGTTAAAAAAGATTCTTTTAAAAAAAGTCACTTTAGACACCTTAAAAACAAACAAAAGGTTTACTCCAGCCCTACAGTCCTCGGAAGCCAATTCAGTTCCTTGCAGTGGGGCTGGAATCGTTGGTAGAACATTTGGTTTACTCCCTGGATACCAAGTTACTGCCTTGCCCCATCCTAACGATCAACTCCAGACACTGTCAGATGTCCCCAGGGTGGGGACAAAATTGCCTTTGCCTAAGAATCACTAGTTTAAAATGACCTAATGAGAGATTAAATGAAATTAACCTTGTGTTTTGGAGTGCTGAAAACCATTCTCTAGGTGAGAAAATATTCCACAGGGAAAGAAAAAGGGCAGCCTGGCTTAGCTGCTGTGTCTGTAGACTGACAACTGCCAGGCTGCCGGCTCACGTCTCCTGATGGCATCGATGGGCAGAGCCTTACGCAGGTAACACAACACAGAGTGCGGGCACATCGGCTCATGGGACAGTTGTCTTTTTGAACATAACAGCATACAGGGAGCCCTGGATCACTCCACGCCCCCCCTCCCTGAGTTAGACTCTAACCATCCTCTACAACATGGGTGGCTTGCACCCAGTACGGAATAGCCGATTTTGAGATAAGAATGCCGTAGAGATGGACATTTTTTCAAGTGCTGTTTATTTAATGCAGCATGACTTAGAATGGGCCTGTAACCTGACAAGTGTCCTGAATGAGGAATGTTCAATTTACCAGTTCTAACCGGCCGAGTCCTCACATGAACTCTGTAAGACCCGGCTGAGAAGCCTGGGAAAGTGCAGCTAACCACAAATCTCCAGTGTTTCCTCCACCTTGCTCTATGTCCCTAGCCCCAGCTGCACCGCCCTCAGCATTCTCCTAAGACCCACTGCACGCCACAGACGTATCATAAAATCCAAGCTGTCGGCAGAGCCTGCAGCACCTCAGCTCACCAGCTACTCCTGCCTCCCTGTCAACCAACTCTGAGGGTTCCTGTTCTATTTTTAAATACATTGAGCAAAGAAAACAGCTCCATAGGATTTTAAAGGATGGTTGTCACCCCAATTCACCATTGCCTTATTTTTGTCGCAATGATAGAAACTTTGAAGGGAGATCCGTTTGGGATTCAAATGCCAGGTCTTTGTTTGCCAACTGTGTGATTTTGCAAAACCACTTGCCCTCTCTGAGACTCAATGACTGCATATGTAAAAGGAATAATAATAACAGGACCAAAACAATTGGTTCTTTTGAGGGATGAGTGAGGTGACAAAAGACAAAACATGAGTGTTCCAAAGGGTCATCGTTGCTATTACTATTATTGTTATCAACATTATTACATTCATTGCTCATCAACATTCAACAAGCATTCCTTCAGTGTCTTCTCATGCTTAGGTGCTGGAAAAATTCAATTAGTATTGCAAAACAGGCTTTCTTAAAAGACTCAGGGTTTCAACCAAATAACACTGAGGAATGAAAAAAAAATGTGTTTGCTGGCAGGTACAAAAGCTTTGGATAGAGCCCAGTGGATAGTAGGTGCTCATAAAATGTGAAATAATGATGGTGCTACAACTGTAATATTGGAAATCTTTATTCAGCTCACTCTTCGGAGTTTCCACTGCATGTTTGTCTCTATAAGAAATCACTTATTTTCAAGTAAATGAGTACTGTTCTTATAAGAAAGAACTTCTTTTCCTTAAGTAACAATTTAATAGGAGTAGGTTAACATTCTTTATTATAGGGTAGGTTGATAATAAGGGTCTGGAGTCTGGGAGGTAATTCGGCCTACTGAAAGGGAAGTGAATTTTGACTAATTCATAAGTATATATCAGATCTGTTGAGCTGAGAAGTTTCCATCATATAACAAAATTAGGGCCATGAACCAAAAGTCTAATCATAATAATCAAACTGCTCACCTACTTTGTAATACAGATAAAGGTAGACATCTAACCCCTTGGTTCAAAATAAATCCCTTCTTATACATTGATTTATATTAGCCATCACTGAAGCCTAGTCTCTTTCTGTGGGAATTAAACAGGGATAAACAGGTTTAGACTTTTGTTCTTCTATGTCACAAATTCTTTCACAATCCCTTAGTATTTCAACACAGTTTAATGCACTACATTTGTGGTTCTTAGCCCCTTCTTAAAAACAAAATCTGTTTCCCAAATATTTTTTTCCCATGGCATAGCAAGTATTGAGCTGTGATGAGAAGTCTTTCGATGACAGCAAAGTAACAACCTATTCAGCGTTCAGGCCTATTACCATACCAAACTGGTCCAAGCAAGGTCAATGAAAAACGCATTTTTTCAGAGGAGGTCCTTACCTCGAATATGTTTGAAGGCTCATTGTTGTATTGGTTGGATATTATTTCTGATTGGTCACTGCACCACTTGAGTCCACCCAGAAAGCTGTCTGTATCCAAGTCATTCACATCTAGTTCAGAAAGATCAAGTTCAGGAAGATCTGGGCAAAGAGGCTGGTCTTCACCAACCAGAGCAGCACACTGTAGGAGGCAGAAAAGGGGGAAAATGCTTTTATTAACTTTAGGAATTTATTAAACTGCAAGAGCATGTGATGGGAATTAAGCCTGGTTAATTCGACGACGCCACCAAAGCTGCTCTCTGGGGCTTTAATCACCAGGGAAAACACCCTGAATTCTTTACTCACTTGGCTCTGGAAAGATACTTTGTGTGAGTTATTCCATGCAGAATTCTATCTCAAAGGCTATGGCAAATACCATGCTTTTGTAAAGCCTTCTGTGATTGCTCCAATAAGAAATCAGAAGGATTTGTTTGTACCTCTTTGAAAGTTAGCACTTAGCAAGTTTCAAACTGAATTATGGTTAACTACATGCTAACTTTTACAGTACCTCTAATGGTACAATCCCTTTGAAGGAAGGATACAAATTTGACTTCAACTGGGAAACCCCAAGACATGCACAGAATAGACACTCAACAAACAACTGCTAAATGGAAACCAGAGCACAGGAACTGCATCTCCTCCTTTTAAAAAAGCCTCGAAATCCATTTATCAACTAAAGAGGCTGCCTTTTTGCCTCATCCATGCTTCTGGTACTGACTCATTTACTCTCACGTGGCTTGCCAGGACGCTCTGGACTTCACCCTTAATAAGTGAAAAGCACGTTCCTTGAGATCAAGAGCAACAATCATAGTTTTTTCCTAAGCGGCCACTATCTGTTTCACTGTGTGTCACTTGCAAGTCGCGTATGTGTGTGTGTGCGCATGTGGCTAGCATCACCTGGCACATGGCAAAGAAAAACCACAACAGCACACCACAACCACACTGTTTTCATTATGTATTTATACCTAAACTGTGCTCCAAGTGAACTCAAAATAACTGTTTTTGCTAGGAGTTATGATTTCAGTACATTAAGAGGCTTAAAATAGTCTCTATGGCTTAGCTGCTTATCACCAAGGTTATTTGGACCATCATAGCCATTCACCCTCCTTGCCTGGAATAGTCTTTCCATTGTCCCACCGACTGCTTTCTAAGGAAAGTGGACCCCTTGTACACGAAGGGGTCTCCTAAAGTTGACTTTCCTAACTGCTGGTTCTAATCCACACACCAAAAAGACACCCTGCAGAAACTCCTACTGTAGGGTCCCTGTGAAGTCAGAAACACACAGGCTTTATCCACCTGCGAGGCAAGCTGTCTGAATTAGGGCTCAGCGCTCTGAAGTGGCGCACTCATGGCCCTGCCTCCAAGGTCAGGAGAGATGCTCTGGACTGGGTCACATCCAGGCAGCAGTGGGCTATGAAGCAACAGACCCTCCTTGACATTTAGATTTTGAATAAAATAAATTTTATGCAGGTTTTTTTCCCTCCAGCACCCTGTCATCCCTGGCAGGCGACATTACACGGGTCATATGCCGCAGCGTGATCGTAAGCAACACGCTGAGAAGTAGGTACTGGGTAATAGAGTCAGCAGTTGGTCAGGGGAGGATGGGAGGAGTCTGCAAATCATTGCAAGGTCCCAGGGAGACTCCCACTCCCCAACCCCCACACAGCCAACACAAAGTAAAGCAAAGAAAGGGGGCTGTCCTCTGGATAGACCCTCTCCCCTTATCACTTTATTGTCCTGGTCTTTGTATCATCTGAGTTATCACAAAGTTACAGATTCACACACTGCTCCAGGTCCAGAAACCTGCGGAGGCTGCCCTGAAGAGAAGATCTTGCCCTGGGCCAATGTTCGTGTTTTGTTATGGGTGTAATGTGTCCGGGCTCCGCTCTGCCCCACACACCACGTGCCCTCCAAGCACAAACACCAGCATTAACTCTTCTCAGCACCACCCATTCAGAGATGAAGGAGAGCTTTTCCGTGTGCAAAACACACTCAGCTTTCAGGGAGGGGTAACAGACCTTTTGCAAACAGGCATGGAGAACAAAAGCAACAGCAACAACAAATAAGAATACGCTAGAAAACTTGGGCTAGCCACACCTGACTTCTGTTCCTCCAGTGGAAGTCAGCAACCCTGTGGAGGAATGCTGAAGCATCACACTGAGTGGCAGCCAACATCTTCCTGTCTCTCCAGGAGTGAGTGGTTCAACACCCCATACCGTTCCAGAAATCTGCATTTTTAAAAAACTTCTGAAAACCACTGAACAGACCAGATCAATTGGTTGTATGTGACTACCCCATCATCTACATATTCCTTCCACTTTCTCTCTCTCTCTCTCTCTCTGCTTTTATATTTTGGTTGGGGAAAAAAAGTATATGTGTTCTTTGCCAACGCTGACATGCTAATAAAATCAGTGGTTCTGAATGTGGTATTCTCCTGCTAATCTAAAACCATTAGTAGTAGCAAGTGTTCCTGTTATTAATTTATATCTGGCCTTTGGATGATGCCAGACTTAACAGTCCGAGCCCTGTAACTGTCCCCATCTGACACACTGATATTTATGGCTTCCCTATACATCTGTAACAGGTGTGGTTTACTGCAATTACACAGACACCTTCTATTGTCTCTATTGTCTCTTTGCAACTATGACAGTAATTTCACAACTGTAGCCTGAATTTTATACTGAGATTTAAGAGAATAAAGCAATCGCCAAACACAAAAGGCTAATTATTGTACATTATTTCACCCCAACAGACTTTTCTCTTAGTTAAGGAGCAGACAATAAATTAGCTTAACTGCACTGATGATAATGAATCATTATAATTAAGTATAATTCTCCATTAACCTTTTGGAGGTTTTTGTGCCATTGATGGTAAATTTTAAAGAGAGAGAGGAGAAGGAGTAGACTTGGTCACATTAATTATATTAGTGACAAAAAGAGTCTTCTTAAGAAAAAAAAAATTAGTGGAGACAGGGGAAAGGGGGTATCGAGGTGGGGCTGTAAGGAATGACAGTCTCCGTGGAGTATGTGTCAAGTGCATTGTCTCTATCAATCTTGGTAACCTTCTTGTACATCACCTTCATTAAACTGTGAAACACCCAGGATTCCGAGTAGCTCCAGTGCCACAGGCCGTTATGAACCAACGTGCTGTCCTGTCATTATGTGCAAAAGGGCATCATGCGTTTTAGGATGACAGCAAACATTAACGATTCAAAAAATGAAAGCTGTCTGTGCAACCTGCTGCTCGTAATATTTCAGACCGGCGGGGGTGATTCCCACGGCTGCAGCCACGGAGGCAGGGCTTCTAGCAGCTGGCTGCCTACAGTGCCACAGAGGAGTCACTGGCCAGGCTCAGCTGGCCGCCGACTCAGTCCATGGCTGGACAATTCGCCTGAGCTCTGTCCTCCTTAAGAAAAACAAAGCAAAACTCAGCAGCTACTGTCTAAAGGGTCCTGATGCAGATTTGAAAATGACTGCGGGAACCCCAATGATCATTTCCTTATTTCCTTATGATCTGGTTCCTCAATCAACTCCTAGGAGCGGCAGGAATAATCCATGCTGAAAAAATGAAACTAAAGCAGCTGAGACCTCCAGTGCCGGCCGGCCAGCCAGCCAGCCACCCACAGGACACTCTGGCTACTGAAGACAGCTAGGACTCCAAAGCCACTTCGCAGCCTGACTCGCGACAGCCACGGGACATAGGCAAGAGCCGCATCTATGCCGCTTTACCCAGAAATCGCAACCCGGTTAAGAACCACCGCAGTCGGCCAGTGGGATCTGCCAAAGGCAAGGGAGGACGAACGAAGCAAACACTGACAAAGCCAGCAAGGAGTTAAGAAGCCAGGGCATGCCTCGCTAGAGAGGAAAAATGCATTCCCGGCCGGCCTGGGCCGAATCATTTTCACTTTAGATGTGTATCGCCGCACCGCGTGGACAACTTATTTAATCCAATCACGTGTGGCACTCGGTCCTCCCCCTTACCCTACGTGCCTCCAGCCACCCGGAGGAAGCACCCGAAGTCCCTCGCCAGATTCATTGTTAGCAGCTCGGATCCTCGGTGCAGTTCCACTCGGCTCCATCTCACCAGAGTGCACAGAAAAGTTCTGCTTGTTTCCCAAGTTGCCCAAACTTTCCGAGCACGTCGCGTGGTGCTGCCTGCAAACACGCCCAGGTCCCCGGGCCCCCTGCCGGACTCCCGAGATGACGACGAGCGCGCTTGCGTGTTTCCCCCTGTATGAATTGTAGTCAGCAGAGGCTGTGGAATTGATGTATTGCCGTCTATTTTTACACGAGCAGCGAGCAGCTCCACACACAGTCCTGCATAAACTCTATTCTCTCGCCGGCTTCAGGCAGCTCTCGTGGTACACGGAGATTTAACCATTGGCGTCCCTGCCACCGAGGCGAAAGGAAAACCTTGCACTGCAAGGCGGTTTTTTTTTTTTTCTTTTCCCCACCACAGCCGGAGTTTTAAAGGAATCAGCATCGTTATTTTCTGTTGTGTGGGAAAAGCAATCTAAAATAGCCCAGCAGGATTATTTAGGATTTTGTTAAGTTCTCTGTCTGATGAACAGACAGAGACGGGGGGGAAAGAAATCCAGACCAGTCAAAACGGACTATATTTGAACACATCCATTTTAATATTTTTATCTTCTCTTATTATAAATGGAAATGGCATTTTTCCAAGCAGGCCACTAAACACCACTGGAAAGACTTCGGCTTCTGATTGATATCAATATCTTGGAGCATAAATATTGCATATGAGTGGAAACACAGCCAAAGGCACATGGAAAGAGTTTCTAACTGCAACAGATACTGATGACAGCAGCTAAGCTTTGATTTGCTCGAGGCATCTCAGAGCCACCTTAAAATAGCAAACTTATAGGAGTTAAGATAAGATTGAGATTCCCTTCCAAAAGCTCCCGCCAGCCTGCCTGCCTGCCTGCTCCAGGCTGTCAGCCCCGGAGACTTTTCTACCTCCTCTCCTCCCCAAGCCCATCCCCCCTTACAGGAATCAGTGCATCCGAGGGACGCTCAGTCCTGGCTGCAGTGCCGAGCCCAACCCCAGCTCACCTCGATGTCACTCCATACAGAGTCCTGGCTGCACATGTCCCACGCCATCCAGCTCCTGAGTGACGCCAGTCAAGCTTTTTCAACTCCAATCCACAGTAACACAGAGCACACACTCATGCAGGCAACCAGCCCCTTACTGAGAGTGAACTGAAGGCACCTGTCTTACTACAGTCCCCAGTCACATGACAAAGCTATTAAAAAGTAGGCTGGGCTGTCACTCACTCAGCCTCCCTTCTGTATTGCTTGCTGCTCAAACTCGTGACGTCACTGAGAGGCAGCCCTCTGCCTCAGTGAAGTAACGCTTAAAAAAAAAGAAAGAAAGAAAAAGAAAGGAAACACTTGGATTGTTGGAGACTGCAAGCATCAGGCTGTGGGTAAAGGCAGCTCTGAATGCCCACACTCTAGAAGGAGCCCTGGCCATGGAACAAGCAGAATCCCCCTGCAATCTTTTTTTTTTTTTTTTTTAATTTATTTTCCTCCTAAAACAAGCAAGTGACAAAGCTCCCTATTTCATGACAAAGTAACTATATTCTCAGCACAAATGTGGCTTCCCTGGAGACTTTAAGATCTCCAAGTGGAACTCAAGCTCATTTAGGGGACTAATGGAAGAGTTTATCACATGATGCATTTTTATCAGATCTTTTCTACTGGGAGGGTGTTGTTTGAAAGCAGCAAAGGGGGCAGTTTGGGGTTTGTTTAATCAACAACACAGACTGTATTTGCTAAGCTCTAAACCAAGTCCTCTGCCCAGAAATCGGCTGTCCCCGTGGCAAGAGGGAACACCGGTTCCCGAAGTGTTGCAGCAGTTTGCTTTGCTCCATATAAGGAGAACAAGCCACAAACCCCCATGCTTTGAGGTTCCCTGTAATGATTTCCATTCCTCTCATAGGCTCCCAGAAAACAAGTGTTAGTAAATACAGCCTGGGCTGCTGTGCCCAGAACAGCCTCGTCCCGGCTGCCTTCCGTCTGCATGGAGCATTTCCTCTCTAACTGCCTTAGGGTGCCTTTTGGAATAAACATTGGATTCCAACCCTGGTGCCCTGGGCTGTGCAGTTTGCACTGGAAATCAAGAATGTCCGTGCAGTGAAGGAAAAGTACCGACCCACTATCAGCTGAAAGATTCATTTCGTGAGCTCCTCTTCCACTTATTTTTCAGCTCGTACCTTGAGACAATGAGGGTTAAGGCAGGTGCAAGTGTTTTATGATGACACTACATATTGAATACATAACAAACTCAAGGTACTCCATACAGCAGAAAATCGCTTCCCGTAACACGACGGGTCGCTGATTTAACCCCTTCGAGTTCTGGAGACACACATACAAACACACACACACACACACACATAAATATTGTTATGAACAGACATGTTTTTATAAAACTGACAACCCAGTAGACTTTTAAAATCAGCTCACTTCTTTATTTGATAATTATTTATTTGAAAAAAAAAAATCCCCATGTATTTAAAAAGAACATGTAAAGCACCATTCACTTAAACTCCTCCTGGGGTTCCACTGACAGGTTCTTTAACCATCTCTTTCTAAAGAAGAAAAACATGGCATTTGGTTCTAACGTACGTTTTAAATATGAAGTCGCCCCCCCCCCCCGAATAAAGTGAAAGAAATACAAAATAAAACAAGGAAACAGCAGACTGCTGCTTCTAGTGGACCATATATATTCCAAGGGATTCGTCTACTCTCGTAGTTGCAACAAGTTGCTTATAAATTCCTTCACACTGTGATGAAATTGAGAGTTTGTCATTACTGGACATAAAAGCATGTCCAAAAGCTTTGACATTTTAAGTTAGTTGAAGACATTTCACTGGCACATTTTCCCTCTTTACAGATGGCAGAAAATTACTGTAGTTTTAATTTTCTAAATCAAGAAAGAACTGGAACATACAACCTCGGGAATGCTTTTATCCATGCAATTAGCAATATGACTCTGTACTCCCCACAAAGAAACTCTCGTTTTCTTCCCAATTATATTCTGATTTCATGTAAGACTTCAGTAAATTATTAAAATTCAGGACAAAGGTCATTGGCTCTACCCCCAACACACTCAACTGTGAAATAATATTGTTCACTTGGCTGAGAAGAGTCAATGTTTATTAATTATTATCAAGTGATCTCTGCATTCTGATAGTCACCAGTGCTTTTCTTTGTGTTCAGGCAATGCCAGGCTTCTATCAATATTTTTCAAATCCTATTCACACCTTTTAAAGGTATCTTTTTACACTGGAACATGTTGTACTATTGTTTCTGACATTTCAAGCTGCTCCCATAGTGTTCTTGAGGTTTTCTTCTCTCTCTCTTTTTTTTTGTCACCTAATCCCACTTTTTAAAAATCAAATCAGCACATCCACTGAAACCAGGGGTGACTTTATACAAGCTTGATCTCCCCTTCACCGTTATAAAGAGGCTGATTGAGAAGCCAAACTACTTAAAGGACTTATAAACTACAGCCTATTGCTTCCCCTCCCCCACATATTTCTACTACTGCACAAATCAATATTTAAATGGATTCTTGGACAAATTAGAGTAACTTCTACCATTCTTTAAGCCTCAAAAAAAAAAAAAACCAACTCTGATGACAAGGATATTTTAGACATTTTAGAATTTGATTATTAACTCTTCAGGTTGAAAATTCTCTCCTGTCCAGTTTTTTTGTTGGTTTGTTTCTTTTCTCAGGAAAAATGGAGACTATTCTGGCTCCCCGGGCTCTGTCTGTATTTAATTCTCACCGCCTTGACTTCTCTGCTTCTCTCCCCGCACCCTTCTTTCACCTCTTCTCCAAGCCTGTCTCCCAGATTCCCAAATGTTTGGTTTCTATTGAAACCTAACTGTGGGCACAGCGATGTATTGCAAGCACTGCCAAGAAGTCTTATGACACGTATACAAGGATGCTTGCAGTTTTAGGGGGGATGATAGCACTTAAAAACACAGAATAAGTTGATATGAAAAGGCAATGTCATTTTTCTCCATACTCAGATTCCTCTTCTATGCCTTAAAACACATCTTATAACCTCGTCTGTTATAATTCACACCTAAGTCAACCCATTTTAACTCAATGATAGAAAGAGGTATTTATTAACATCTGTTGAGTGCAGTAATATTTCATATCTACACAGAGGCCAGATTCCTTTCTGATAGCACCTTGGCCTTCAGTGGTTCTGTTAACATGTCCCAAGACCCCAGCACTGGAAAAGGCAGGGGAATCTTTCTGAGGTGGGGAACATCTGGCCCACAGGCTGTATGTGGTATGGCCCTGCCAAGGCAACCACAAGTGGGACTCAAAATTTAATAAATCCATAGCAGGCTAATATTATAAATATCCAAATGGCCCTTGGCAGAATAAAAGTTTCCCATTCCTGGTAGTTGAAAGAGAGAGAGAGAGAGAGAGAGGGAGAGAGAGAGAGAAACTCTCAATTCTATAACAAAAAATAAAAGGTGTAACATTTGGGTTTTTTCCCCCACTCCTCTTCCAAATTACAGGATTTCCCAGTTTTGCCATTTTATATTTCAGACAATTGTCCAAATCAAAAAAAATATGTAAGTACAATCAAACTCAAACCAAAAATCGAAGCTCTTACCCAATAGCAAAAGCAATTGGGTTTGGCATCAATATTGTATGCAGGTGAATACAGAAGGAAACTCAAAAGTGAAGAGTTACTAGTACAAAAATCTTTGTCTGTTGGCTTATAGAAGCTTACAATAAATTATGCAAGAAAAAGTTAAGGCTGAATCTTTGCAAAGAAGAAAGGTGGAGAGAAAAACAGATACTGCCATGTTTGTACCGGTCAGTCATTAAGGTCAGCAATTCACACTCCATAGCTCAATCACTGTCATCCTCAAAATTTTCCAATACACATTATCTATGTACCCATTTTACAACTGAGGAAAATAAGGCAGGGTGAGAGTTTAGAAAGCTGCTGACCAGAACATGCAAAAACTCCTCTAGGAAGAACTGATGTCTCATAAGAATGATCATCATCCTCAAATAACCAGGCATACAGAAGACCCTGAAGGCAACTTTATATCCAAAAGAATATCTACAGACCTGGAAACTAATATTCCTGGGAATGCTGCCCGCCTGGAGCATTCTCCCAGCAAGGAAAGGGGCTTGCTTGGAAATGCCAGTATTTTCAGAGTTAATCATTGCTAACAGGAATTCAATTGCTTGCTTTTAATTTCTAGAGGGACTAATTGATCATGATAGCCCACATTAGGTTCTGAACACGCACTTTGGGTATCTGATTTGAAGCCAAGATTGAACAAGGAATAAAAGTTGGTAGCAGGGTAGGGTATAACAAAAAGCCCTATTTTATAAATATTCTAATATTAAATCTTATTTTATGCAAAACTGGATAAAGGTGAACAAAGGACCTTTGGGGCAACGAGTAGAGGAAAGTTAGTAGATAGTTTTAATGCCTCCTGGCTGTTCTTTTTCGTTCTTGATTTTTAATAAATAAGACATGATAGATGGCCTCAGCGACACATCTCTTTTCTCCAATGAAACCTTCTGCAGACTGGATCTCTGAACTGAATCTTTCTCTATTTTAACTTGGACCTCAAAGTGAGCTTTGGGTACTCTTCCAATTAAGACAAAATCATGTGAATATTAATTTGAATTGTAGTCAATTGAACTATTGTAAACAAAAAGCAAGAAGTGTATTTATTAAGCACACAGGTAAAAGGTAATAAAGGATGGCTGAAATATGATTTTGTCTAATGTTCAAATCTGCTATATTAGTGAAATATTTACATATTTTAAATTACTTTCCTTATATTAGGTGAATTCATCTATAATGTAAGGTGATATTGATTATTTAGATAAGAAATGCTCAATAGGA